GAGTTGGCATACTGTAAACTATTTGTTTTGGTCTCATGTTTATAATGATGAACTACCATGTTTTGCGTTATTGATGTGTATTGATTATTGGGACCATGTGTGTATTTAGTCCAGGGAAATTATTCCACTGTGTGTGGTGACTCTGGCCACTAGGGAACAGATCCGGGTTGGGCCGTGATGACTTTAGTGCTCAACGATTGTAAGGAAAAGACCTAGGTTAGGCTAGGTTACCTTCAATCGGATCATCTTAGAGAAAAGGCCTAGGTTGCCACCCTGAGGATGACTCTTAGTTCGGTATTAGATCCAACGGAGCTTATAGCCTTGAGAACTGTGTGGCATGTTACTTGTTATTTCTTGGTACCCAGAAAATTATTGGTATTCATGTTGTAATCTGTTTTAAGTGGAAAATGTCATTTATCATGTTCTTGAGAGACATGAGTATTTTAACTAATGAACTACGAAGCCTTCTTTTTGAAACAGATTCTCCTTACCAAACTGTATGTCAATCTAGTTTCTGTGATATATGTCTTATTTTGGAATTGATCCCGGTTTTCAAAACTATATATACTATCCATGTTGCTACTCACTGAGCTATCAGCTGACTTAGTTGTTTACCATTTTCAAGTGTTAGAAGGGCTTAGAGTGGACTCATGGCGTAACAGAGACTCAATTGCATGGACCTCTAGGACATTCATTTATTTTGTTTTAGACTGTTATGTCAAGTTTGTGCATATTTATATTTATTTTTATTGAGGTTCATTTAGGATTATTTTGATATGTGGGTTGTTTATATTCCATAACTTTGGATGGTATTGATTACGGTTGGTTTTGCCGTTTATATTTGTGGCAGGACACTGGATTGAGTTTTGGTTATTTGTTAATGGACTATTTTATAGTTATTCAATGTGTATGGATTCGTATTTAGGCTTACGTGTGCCTTGGGCTAAGGCCTTGTGGACCACGGCCGGTCATACCCAAGTTTGGGATGTGACATCGATGGTGGTGATGTGGTTTGGATTAGGGTTTGAGAATAAGATCAGGGGAGGGCTGTGGGGTGTTGCGGAGAGGTGGGGGGCGTCAAGAAGAAAGGAGAGGGAGGTATTGAGGAGCACAGTGAGGGGGCAGCAGATGGTGGGGAGAGAAGGGGAGGGAAAGGAAGGGGTGGTGGAGGTGGCACTGGTGCGCTGGGTGGCTGGCCAACAGATTGGATGGGTGCGGGTGCGGGTACGTTGGGAATTAACTGGGGTATTAAAAGAAAATCAACAAAATTTAAATTCGAGAATGGGGTGTCCAAAGGAAGGGTGATCCAACCATTGTTTTGGAGCACAATTAGAGGTTCCCACTTGTCCACATATGTTGCACATAATGATGACGTTAATGGTCCTCACGTCATTGTGTGGGTGATAGTTCATTCGTGATCATCCGTACTCAGATCAGTTGCAGTTATCAATGGTTAACATGTGTTCATACTTAGATCAATGCAGGTATGAACAGTTTATCCCTGTTCAATTGATACTTACTTGGGAGGGTTCTCTTGCGACTGGCAGGTGGGCAAGCATTCAACAAGACAATCATGATTAGGCTCCACAAAGTACGCAATCTGCTCAATGAAATAATAATAATAATAAATAAATGAAAATAAATCGAATAAAATGAAAACCAAAAAGCAAAAAGAGCCATTATGTATGTTAGACGATAATATTGCATAAATGCAATTAGAGAACATTCAAAAGCTTCTAAAGGGACCTTACAGAATATCTCTCCTGACCATTACCCAGCACTCGATGCAACGTGGACCTAGATAAAATTAAGCAAGTGAACACACAGATAGCCAAGTACCATAAAATTATAATCCCAACACTCAAACCACATACTAGAAAAATTGGCATTCAAGGTGGTGGCAATGAGAAATTATTGTTCCGGAATTTTTGCTCTAAAGAAGGCAATGTCCCATATCGTACTCAATATTATCTCACAATAAACAACTGAAAAATAAATAATAATAATAATCCAACTGATTGTCATGAAGCTACAAAACCATCATTTAGGAACTTTGGCAAACGCACATTACCTGAAAATACAGTTGCTCCAGCGCTCTAGCATGTCACCAAGATTCACTATAAATGCTTTGAAAGTTAGATTTCAATCGTCAAGACAG